AGTATTATTTTAATTTTAAATGCATTATCTATAAAGTATAAATACAGTATGATGATTAGAAGATCTAAAATATGAGAGAAGTTAGAAGCAGGCATCAATTTAACCAGTAAAACATTATTATTTAACTTTGACCATACAATATTCAAGACAAATCCAATAATTTTACTAGTCAAATTATATATTAAATATATTAATTGGTATTTGGTGTCAACTAAACCAAAACCTATAAATGCCAAAATATTTATATATTGTTAGAGTAAAAATGAATATAAATATACATAATATATTGAGCAACCTTAAATATTGAATATTATATTATATTTTTATTTTAAACTTAATTTTGTAATAATTATTATTTTTTATTAAGCAGTTAAATAGGTTATTTTTTCTTTAAATTAAATGTTTATAAATTTTTTTAGACTATTAAAATCTTTGGCGGAATTGATATCCTTGTTTCAAATGCTGCAACAAATCCTTCATCAGGTTCAGTATTAGATGTAAGATTTTGATTACTTAATGTTAACAAATTGAAATACAATATTTAAATGTTTACTATTCATAAATTAGAAAGGAAAAACTAATACTTAATGTTTGTGAACTAGTGCGATGAAGAAATTTGGGATAAAATATTTGATGTTAATGTCAAAAGCGCATTTTTATTAACAAAAGAAGTAGCACCACATCTCATTTCTAGAGGTGKAGGTTCAATTGTTTATRTCTCTTCAATAGCTGGTGTCAATCCAATGCCGGTAAAAATAGTTTAATTAATTTCTACATATCATACAAAGTTTTGCTACTCATATAAATTTGAATACATGTTATAGATGTTGGGAGCATATTCAGTTAGTAAAACGGCTCTTCTTGGTTTGACAAAAGTAGTTGMTATGGATTTGGCAGAGAATAACATAAGAGTCAATTGTGTAGCTCCTGGTATCGTGAAAACAAAATTTGCATCATCGGTATGTATTATAACCATGTATGATAATATTTAAAAATACAGAATAACTTTAAAATGATTATTTTATAGTTTGCCACATAAAACAATTTGATAAATAAATGAATAGGTAAACACATAACATTTTATTATATTAATAATAAACATTTATGTTTTATTATTTTTAGCTTACTGAAAATGAATCGCTTAGTGAATATTTATTACAAGGGATACCTATTAAAAGGTAATTTTTCCCATTAAATCATAATATACTAATGATAATTTATAATTTTATAGTAATTAATTTTTTTTTTAGGTTTGGCCGTCCCGAAGAAATTGGTTCTATTATATCATTTCTTTGTTCACCCTCTTCTTCTTTTATAACTGGTGAAGTAATTGTAGCATCTGGTGGAATGACATCTAGGCTTTAAATGTGTAACTATAGTTATTGGATTATCATTTTTATCTTTTAATTAATAATTTAAACAGTCAAGATCAAATTATTGAAATAACAATATTCCRAAATAATTAAAAATCTTATTTATATATCTTAATATATATTTAATATATCTCTTGTATGTTGAGTTGCATAAAAAATTGATTAATTTAATAGTTCAAAAACATTAAGTGGATCAATTGTTAGCCATTAAATCTTCCCCCTTGRCTGAATATATTCAAAGGCAAGCAGACATTTATAATATAGCATTTTAAAATTDTATGTGTTCAATTTTGGGGTGAGGTCTGTTGCCAAGTAATTTGCGCCTATGATTACTTCACTACTTAAATGAATCATTAAATGTTTATTCATTTTTTATGTAACCTTATTGCAGTGTTTGGTGGCTGATTAAAAATATTTTATTTCTCATATTGTTTTGTTTTATATGGAGTTTATTTTTTATTTATGAATATTTATGTATATTTAGTAAAATAATGAATTRTTCAGTCAATTTTACTATTATCTAATTTTAGTTTAATTTTTTTTTCAATGTTTATATTGACTATAAATAATTTGTAAAGTTATAGTTCAGAATTGATTCACTATTATTGATGTGTCAGTATGAATGTGGTGCCTTACTTTGTTATCAATTTAAARCAAATGTTACAAATGTTTTTTAATACTTTGCAACAATTTGAAAATATATATTTACTATTTGCAAACTTCAACTTAAGCTGTGGGAGTTATTTTGAAATTGGGGCAGGGACAACTTACGTAACTCCACCACATCATCAGATTGTTCTTGTACTTTTAACAATATTTTGCCCTCTTAACAATTTACAAATTACGCTAATATTTAACCTCCATTTTATTGTTAGTGACCACAATAGTCTCCACTTTAAAAATGGTATCAAATTATTKAAAATTGAATTTGTTTAGTTGCAAATACTTTTTTTAATGATTTTTTTCAATCTTTCATCTTCAAAATATTGTTAAATATTTTATTTTAGTTTTTAAAACATGAAGTTGCCCTCCCCGATTTTGAAACAATTTCCTCAGCTTTAGATGAAGTTTTAAAATTGTAAAAATAGATTTGAAAATGATTGCAATGTATATTTGTAAAATATTTGTGTAGGTTTAAAATTGATTGGACAAAATTGAGGGCCAACTTCACTAACATATTATTGATAACTACTATAAAAATCAAGATTGATATATATGCACACAAGTATATAATAGCAGATTGCATATCAACTATAACCTGTAATATTTCATATTATGGAATGTTACCTAAATATTTGTATGTGTCATGTCCCTTAACTCTTAAGTCTAACTCAAAACTCTACTGTGRCTKTAAAATTAGCTTGATAGGAATCTTCTTAATAATCTGCCTCTGTAGAATATAATATGCACAATTGTTGTGCCCAACTATATTAAAAAATCCGTGTCTGGAGAGAACATTTCCGTGACCCAACTACATCGCATCCAATACCATGCATCCCCCACACRACGAAAACGTTTTTTAATGTTTGGTACGTTTGGGTTATCTCAGAGCAATAAAATTAATTAATTAAGCGTATAATGTATATCATCCATGATGGTTAAAAATAAATTTTTGAAACTGAAAGAACGGCACCATTTTTGGAAGAATGCATAACTTGGCCCTCACTAGTATTTAAGTTTTWCAGTGCTCACAAATAGTCACGAGAATTGCAATAATGTTCGCAAGGCATGCAAGTCGCTTAAAAATTACAAAATGTTGATACCTGTATAAACAACGATTTAATTTACACATCACTTCGGTCTGGGTTAGCACGGATCTGAACCTTTCATCACCCTATACTACGTGTCTACAATACGTATAGACCAAAGTTACGAGTTGTGTGTGTCCCAAACTCCYAACTGTATTATCATTTAAATTTATATATGTATGTAATATTGTAAAAGACTAAATTTATTATTTGAATTCATAAACATTGCATAATTTAAATTTTTGTCTTATGTGTAATGTTATTAAAATAATC